TGAAACACAATGAAACCTAAGAGAAATGCAAAGTTAAGGATATTCTATTAAATGAATAGGGGTAGAAAGCTGTATGCTTCAAAAAATGAGAATGTCATAAACAAAATAAAAGTATGTGGAAATGTTCCAGATAAAAGACGACTAGAAAACTTGACAATTCAGTACAATACTTGACCTTAGACTGGATCCTATACTGGAGAACAGAAAGTACTATAAAAGATAGGATTAAGTCAACTGAAAAAAACTGTACTGTAGACAGTAGATTAGAGGAAGTTATAAGTGTAAATCATAGTGTAACCATAATTTTACTATGGTTCTATAAGGGCATAATCCCTGTTCTTAAAAAATACACATTGATGTATTTAGGGTTAAAGGGCACAATGTATGCAAGTCACCCTGAAATAGTTAAAAAAAAAATTATATGTGTGTAAGTGCATATGACACAGAGGCCACACAAGAGATCATTTGTGCATATTATAAGACAAATGGGATAAAATGTTAACAGATAAATCTGGGTAAACGGTAAAGAAGTGTTCTTTATACTGTTTTTGGATTTGTGACTCTATAAACTTGAAATTATTTCCATATAAAATATTAATTTAAATAATCCTATCCTTTAGATATTTTGGAACAAAACAAGAAACCATCAAACTTAATGAGAACGTGTTTAAAAAAAATACCAGCGCTAAAAAATACTCCATTCCAAATCATAATAACCCTTAACCTGGAATCCACCAAGATCCAGTGAAATTATCATTGAAAAGTGAAGATAAAATATATTCAGACAAATACTAAAAAATGTTGCCACTCAGAAGCCCTCAGTTAAATATATATTTCAGTGAGAAAGTGAACCCTGAAGGAATAATAATGAACAATGGTGACATGTAAGAAATAATGGTAAACCAATACTGTTAAAATATCAAGGAGAAATATTTTAAAAATTAAAAATACTGTTAAAAATTAAAAGACTGAGTAGAAAAAAAAACAAAAAAGCAAAAACAAACTTCTAAATGAGCACTAAATTCGCAAGATTTCAAAGGTGAAATCTAACAGATTTTAAAAAACATATCTCTATCTTTTACTCTCTGTAAAAGAGAACAGAAAGAAGGAAAAACTCTGGAAGTCATTCTTTAAAAGAATTTTTATAAGCTTGATGTCAGTAGTGGAAAAATAAAATCGTACACCATTCTAAAATATAAATAGTGTTGCAAAAGTCCCAAACAAATATTAGCAAAAGGAATTCAGCAATATGTAAAAATTGCGTCACAGCTAAATAGCATCACTTACAAGAAGAAAAGAACAAGAGTAATTTCACATTCAAAACAATCCACAATTTAAAACAAAAACCCTGGCAAGCCAGTAGTAGAAGAATTTTTTTTAAGACATAAATACACAAATTCACAGAAAAAGATCCAGAAGGATCATACTAAGATACTAAAAGTGGTGACATCTGAGTGGTAAGAATGAGAATGTTTTTGTCTTTTAATTTTTATCTAATTAAAAAAAAATACATATACTAATAAGAAACTAAAAGTTTCTAAAAATGTTTAAATAAAAATTAAAATGCTTAAAAATATATATATCTAACAACTTCAGAAGAGTAGTTACTTCTGAGCAGGGAAAGTTGTAAAAGGATGTTTGGAGAAAGGATATAGGGAAACTTTAATGTAAGCAAAAACAGCAAAATGTCAAGTAATTACATGAATGTTTTTAAATATTCTTTTTTTGTATATTCAAAATATTTCATAAAAAATTAGAAGTACTTTAAGAAATTGAAGAATCTAAATGGATAAATGAGAAAATGGAAATAGTAGTTATCTTTGGCTGGTAGGACTATGAATATTTTTTACTCACTTTAACTGTAAAATTTCAAAACATCTTTAAACAAACTGTTTAATAAAATAAAATTTAAAATACTTAACATTTTTTCCAAAGGACATATCATAGAATTCTGTCTTGTTAATGGAAAGAAATAAAGGATTAACATAATTTAACAATTTTTGCGAGCACACAAAGGATAAGTGATTTTACCTTCATTTATTTTTTATTAATTAGTAAAGGATTATATATTTAAATAATATTGCATTTGTTAAAATAAATCTATCAATGTCAATTGTTTTAATATCTGTTCAGTGTTATTATAGCTCAATTCTAAGCACTCAAATCCTTGTGTAAGCAAGGACCCTGAAGGTCATGAGTCCACCTTACAGTAAATGCTTTTTTACAGTATTCCCAGATGGTAGACATTGAATCTCTGCACAAATAGCAGAGATTATTCTGATAGCAGAAAGCTTGATAATGCAAAGGGTACTGATTTCATTATTGGACAATTCTAATTATTAGGAGGCTCTTTTGAATGAGTAGAAATCAGTTTTCTAGTAATAACCATTAGATTTTTATTGCCCTCGGGAAACAAATCTATTTTTCTTCCTCCATGTGACAGTCCTTTAAATAATGAAGTAAGTTACAGCTTTTCCTTATCTTTTCTATGATTCTGTGTTTCTTCCACTGTTTCTTTTGGGCCAGTTTTTTGACACCTTGGTTATTGTTTGGTCTCCATATATCAGTTTGTTACCTAAAATCTGGTACTTGTTATTAGATGAGATCTGACTAATAAAATTAGAGTTATTATTACCTCCTAGGACCAAGATACCACCATACTTGGTTAACTTCTTCCCTTTTGATTTTTTAAGTAGCAATATGATTGTAGTTCATATACTTTTAAAATTATGCTTTTTTAACTTCAATTATTTTTAAGCCAGGGCTCCCCACAGTATATATATAAAATAGATGAAAAAAAATTGAGGTGTAATAGTTAACCTAACTAAAATTTATCTTGCTTATTTCAGGCCGGATATTGAGCCTAGGGGGATCAATCTTGATCTTGTTATCCATCGAATTAGTTGGACCTCCTATTTTTGAACCTGTCAAGAAGAGATCCATCCATTCATTCTTTTAAGAAACACTAATTTTTTGTGAGAGTGCCAAGTGTTGCAAATACAAAATCAAGTAAGACTTGTTCTTCCAGTTAAGGAGCCTGGTCACATTCACTGATATGCTGAAAGGAACAGAAACTAAGATAGCACTCGAAAGCACCCATCTAGAAATATTCTCTCCAAGTTGACAGCTATTTATTTACCTGCACGCTTTGGGTACAATTACTTGCCCAATTGTAAAACTTTCTAACACTATTTTCAACCAGTCCATACTTCTCCATTAAAATACAAACAAAAATAAAAGACTTACTGAATTTACTATAGACTATCCATATTATATGCACTATATGCTAGTAGATACAATATACAGTTATATCCTATATTGTATATAGTATTTAGTATACTATATACTAATATATTGCATATACCATATACAACTATATTCTGTAACTGTATAGTACTGAGCTCTATAACTGCATATACTATATAGAATTCTATACAGTTCTCTATACTATATAGAGTTCTGCAACTGTATATTCTATAATTGCATAGTATAATGATATAGTATATAGTATAGAATACAGATATATATCATATATATATGTACAGTATATCATCATGTACCACTCTAGTAATCCTAAGCAGGGGTACGGGGTTGGGGGGGAGGAAAGTAAGAATCGTCCTAAGTGAGTGATATTTTCTTTTTTTTTTTTTTTTTTTGGAGACGGAGTTTTGCTCTTGTTACCCAGGCTGGAGTGCAATGGCGCGATCTCGGCTCACCGCAACCTCCGCCTCCTGGGTTCAAGCAATTCTCCTGCCTCAGCCTCCTGAGCAGCTGGAACTACAGGCACACGCCACCATGCCCAGCTAATTTTTTGTAGTTTTAGTAGAGACGGGGTTTCACCATGTTGACCAGGATGGTCTCGATCTCTTGACCTTGTGATCAACCCGCCTCGGCCTCCCAAAGTGCTGGGATTACAGGCTTGAGCCACCGCGCCCGGCTATTTTCTAAAACATTTAAAAATCTGGTAGAGATTTGTATCAAGCTCACTAATTGATAATTTCTAATATCTACTTGTTTACCTCTGAAAACACTGATACTTGCCTTTTTTCACTTTCTCACTTTTCCCAGTTTTCCTAACTCTCCAAAGTATAATGACAAAGCCTCCTGAATCACATTTGCAAGGTTCTTCAGTGCTCTGGAGGATAATTCATCTGAATCTGGAGGCTGAGCTCATTTAAATGAGCTATCTATATCTTATTATTTCTTCATCTGCTTTGAGCAGGACAAGATAGAGGCAAACTTATAATCCAATAGTTCTGCTTCCTCTGTGCTTTACAAGTCAGCCCTAAGTAATGGACCTTGTTTTTGTTTAAATGAAAACTGTTTTCTTTAATTAAATCTGTTTTCTTTAAAAATGCTACGTCTTTCCTTATCCTTAGCTTTTGTCTTCCAACATACATTTTACTACACAGTATTTACGAGTTAGCACCAAAAATAAAACAAATTTTAGAAGCGGTTTCTGCTCAGAAAATGACATACAGAGAATTTGCATGACCACCGACTTGGAAAAAACAATTTGTATCTTTTACAGTTTTTAGATCATTTTATCAGAAGATACTTATAAAATAACCAAAATCCTAATATTTTAATTCCTGCTATCATTTAAAACTATGAAAAAAACACAAAATGTACTACTACAAGAGGAACCTATTACTCAGCATTTAAATGTGATAAAATTTCAAGGATTTTACTAAAATGATAACAAAATAATAGAGTAACAGAAGACAGAATATTGCAGTTCTACTCCCATCCCACACATGAGGTTTAGTAACCCATATGATTCTTTTTCATTTTGTTTCATTGAGACAGAGTCATCTAGGCTGGAGTGCAGTGGCGTGATCTTGGCTCACTGCAACCTCTACTTCCCAGGTTCAAGCCATTCTCCTGCCTTGGCCTCTGAGCAGCTGGGATAACAAGGTATGCACCACTACGTATGACTAATTTTTGTATTTTTGGTAGATATGGGGTTTTGACATGTTGGCTAGGCTGGTCTCAAACTCCTGAGCTCAAGTGATCCATCTGCCTCAGCCTACCAAAGTTCTGAAATTACAGGCATAAGCCACTGCATCCAGCCATGACCTATCTGATTCTATGTGACCTAGAAGAACACAAATAACATGTCTGTTTCCTCAACAGTTCAGTGTTTGAGTTGGACTACAGAATTCCCCATCAAGGTGTTTCAGAGGTTGCTTCAAGTTGTTAGGCATGTGAGTTTCTGAAGTACCCTCAGTAACATAGCTCCTCAATCACTACCACAGGAAAAATCAGTTTTATCTGGTTGCCTATGAAGAACTGCCAAAACTTAAAAAACCGATAGACCAAATCAGTAGTTTCAAACCTTTAAAAATAAAAAACAGTAGAACCCTTGAAGTTCACTGAGCTCAATTTGAAAACTATTGCACTAAATTATTTCTACAGGCCTTTCAAACTCAAGAATGCTACAATGCTTTAATGTATTTACCTTTAATTAACGTACTTTTCATATATTTCCCTTTTTTTTCACTCATATATTAGGTGTCTGGTAAGTACCAACCACTGAGCCAGACTCATTATGAACTTTATCCCTAACCGTGTTAACAATCACCTGCAGAGTTTTACAGACTCAAAACTAAGGTTCATATAGTTAGATCTAAGTGGTGTATCACACATCATAAAGCTGGAATGATATATAACCAGAATTTGAAACTTGTCTATTTATATAATGTGTGTGTGTGTGAGAAGTTTCACTGGGAACTTAATAGGTGAAGGGGTAGGTATTAACAGTTTAATTAATAGCCTAATTAAAAAATAAGCTAAAATTTTTAAATTTGACCTTGAATTCTAAGCCAATAATTTGTAACTCAACTAAGTTAGCAAAGTCTACCAATGTTTCCATATTAAAGATGCTTTCAGAAAAATGCAAATACCTAGTGAATGGGAAACAAAAAATACAAATGCTCTAGAATCTCCTAGAATGCTAATAACCACAAGAAAGGCCAATTAAATCCTCCCAAAATGAAAAACTTAACATTAATCCAAGAACAACTATTATCCAGTAGCACTCTTTACAGTCCTTATATTAACAAATAGCCAAGAACGATTTTTAAAATGCTCTACTGACCCAGGGACTTCATCTTCTGGGATTTTTCAATTTGTATACTGATTTATACATATAAAGACTTAAGTTTAATGCTTTGCATCTTCTATACTATCTCAAAACAAAAGCCAACATATATATTAATGTTAAAAGAAAAACTTCAGACACATTAGCAGAGTTTACTTGAGCCAATTTACAAACTGGGCAGCACCCAGAACCAGAATAGGTTCAGAGTGACTCCAAGGCTACCAGATGGTCAGGTAACATTTATGGGCAGAAAAAGGAAAGTAACATACAGAAAACAGAAGCGAAGTAAAGAAACAGGTGGGCTGGTTACAGCTTGGTATCTGTACTACTTGAATATAGTTTGAATAGTTGGCCACAGGGATTGGCTGAAACTCTGTCACTGGTACAAGAGTACCTTACAGTCTGTTTACATAACCAGTTAGATTATACGCTGCTATGTTGGAGAAACTTTTAGGCCAAACTTAAAATACGAAAGGTGGCAGTTTGGCCCGGTGGTTCATGGCTGTAATCCCAGCACTTTGGGAGGCTGAGGTGGGCAAACCACAAGGTCAGGAGTTTGAGACCAGCCTGGCCAACATGGTGAAACCCAGTCTCTACTAAAAATACAAAAAATTAGCTGGCTGTGATGGTGGGTGCCTGTAGTCCAAGCTACTCAGAAGGCTGTGCCAGAAGAATCACCTGAACCCAGGAGGTGGAGGTTGCAGTGAGCTGAAATCATGCCACGGCACTCCAGCCCAGATGACAGTGCAGGACTCTGTCTCCCAAAAAAAAAAAAAAAAAAAAGGCAGCTTTAGGCTAAACTTAAATTTAACATTAATAAGGAAAGGATTCATCACACTATGATACATCTACACAATGGAATAATATGCAGCCTTTAAAAAGCATGAGACTGATTTTTGTGTGTGTGCAAAAATACACACACACATATCTATCTAAATATATGTATATAACACGATAATATGTAAAGAGTGCCAAAATACACTTTTCAGTGAAAAAAAAGTATTGAACAATGTGTATGGTACACTCCCATCTGTGGTAAGAGAATGAAAAATGGACATTAATATACAGATATGAGACTGCACACATAGCAACAATTTCTTAACGGTGACTGTTTCTTCAGAAGGGGCCTAGAAAGCATAGCATAGAAGGGAAACTGATGTATCACTGACTATCTTTTTGTATTATTTGAATTTTAAGCCCCTTTTTAGTGCTTGTATTACTTTTTCAGTGGGAAAGCTATCTTAAATATTAACACAAAATTGCCATAATACTTGTTCTACCTAAATGGGTAGTTTCTAAGGACACTGCAAAGTTTATTTTCTGAAACTGTTTTAAGCTTTACCATTCAAACATAAATCTCATAATTTCATTGTAAATCTTCTCCCTCCAGAAAAGGTAAAAATATACATAAATAATAAAATCTAGCCAGTTCTTTGACTATACAATAAAAAATTAATAGAATCTCAATGAATGATATTTTATCTTCTAAGCAATTATTCTTTTCAACAATAGGAATTCTTCATTTCTCCAACATTAAATAATACACACAATAAGGATTTAATTGGAAGGCATAAATATAATTTACCATGTTAAAAACACTTTTGGCATATGGAAGGCTTAGAAGTATGAATTTAGACTCATCAGATTTCAGAACTGAATGTCACCTCAGAAATCATACCATTTAATTTCTCAGATGAAGCAACTGCTGCAACCTGGAGGTTGGGAGAACTGTACAAACTCAAGAGTCAGACAACAACAGAGCTAACCTGGTTTGACCATTGTTCTGTCCTAATTAGCTTCATTTGTTAAATAAATGCAGAACAGGTAGGAAAGGCAAAGGAAGGCTTCTGGATTTGGGTTTCTAAAGGGTTAAAGGGCAGAAAAAGTTTGAGAGCAGATTCCAGGCCACTAGAACAAAGTATGGCAAGGAAACTCGAAGTAAAGTGGACCTACCCGGCTCAATACTAGACAGTTCACTTCCAGTTCTGAATAAACTAGGAAGAGTAAAGGGAAGATAACACTGAATCAATTCTTATTTTTGAAAGTGGTTTGGCCGGGCGCGGTGGCTCACGCCTGTAATCCCAGTACTTTGGGAGGCCGAGGCGGGTGGATCACGAGGTCAAGAGATCGAGACCATCCTGGTCAACATGGTGCAACCCCGTCTGTACTAAAAATAAAAAAAAAAAAAAATCAGCTGGGCATGGTGGCACATGCCTGTAATCCCAGCTACTCAGGAGGCTGAGGCAGGAGAATTGCCTGAACCCAGGCCGGGGGGGTTGGGGGCAACCTAGGTTCCCCCCATCCACCCCAGCCTGGGTAAAAAGAGTAAAACCCTGCCCAAAAAAAAAAAAAAAAAAAAAAAAAAGAAAGTGGTTTACATGGGAAGCAATGTTATCAACAAGCAACACTTATAATACACATACTTGAGGGCAGCTCTAGGGTCAAGAGAATTTGAATGCCAACCAATTAGAGTAAAATCTACTAAAAGAAAAATAAGTCTGTTCAAACTTCCTTTCATAGCTCCATGATACTGAGCTGTATGATGATACTCAAGCATTCCGTAAAATCTTTAGAAACTTTTTAAAAAGGAAAGTCTTGTTTCATTTTGTTTTTCTGACAAAGTAATTCATTCTGTGCCAACTTAAAATGAGTTGTATTTTTCTATGTACTAAATGTGTGCCCTAGTTTACTGGAGTCTTTTTAATAACTATGCACATGATATTACATTTATGATCTTTTCATAATGCTTGGAAAATAGTTTCCTATTTCATGATTATGGTTTCTTATGATAGTTACCTTTCATGATACTTGCTTTATGACACCCTGTTGGTCATAGCTATGACTGATCTGCTATTGTACATCCCTGATCAGGAATACAACCCCAACGGTAAGTCATAAGGCATTAGTACAGAACTGATGCCTTTACCTTCAGCCCCTATTTGAGGTCAGTCCCTGGACCAGCAAAAAATGGTGCAGTCTGGCAGTCACTAAAAAAAACTGCATATTAAGGGTATTACTAATGAAATTGCTAACAAAGAACTGCCTATGTTAAGTCAGTGATTTATAAAGAATGATGTGAAAACCCTTAAAGGTCCCTGAGGCACTTTGGAAGGTCTTCAAAGGCAAAACTATTTTATAATAATAAGATATTATTTGCTGTTTTCACTCATTTTCATTCATATTGTGTCATGAGTATACAATGGGGTTTCCCAAAGGCTCCGCTGAAACATATACACATTTGGAAAGTCTGCATAACTCAATGAACCAATATTTTCCAAATGACCAATGTGTGAATGTAAAACATCCACTGAAAGACAACCAATGAATTTTAGTGTATCCAAATACAAAAAGTTCATTAATATGGTCTCATATTCCACATTACAACTCACCATTAAGAAATCAGTTGTTATGCTTTAGCATATCAAAAAAGAATATCCAATTATCTGAAAAGGCTACTAAAATACGCCTCCGTTTTCTAACTACTTTAGACACCAGTGTGAGGCTCAATTTTCTTCATACTTATCAATCGTAACATAATGCAACAGATTGAAGCAGAAACAGATATGAGGACCCAGCTGTCGCCTATTAAGCCACGCATTTAAAAAAATCAGAAATATATAAAATTATGCCACTCTTGTCCTAATTTATTTTTGGGTTGTGAAATACAGATTTTTTTTTGTTAAAAGATCTAACATATAATGAGTTGCTTATTACTAAGTATATTAATACAATTTTTTAATGTTCTCAAAGTTTATTTCTAATGTGGTAAACCTCAATAGATATACATAAACAAAAGCTAGGGGAGATGTCAATAGTTTTTAAGGGTATGAAAGGGTATTGAGAGGAAAGGTTTGAAAACCACTACTTTATATAACTAAAAGAGTTTTTTCTATAAAAGGCTGTGTGT